ACCACCGCAGTCTCCGCCTCCGCAGCCGCAGGCGCAGCCTCCACCACGAACACCTTGCCGTCGCACGGGTTCGCCGTGAACTCCGGCGGCCGCGGCGCCGCCCGCAGCGCCTCCTTCTCCTACTGCGGCGCAGAGGGCAAGGGGCGCGGCATGGCCGGCAGCTACCCGGGCGCGTACCGAGGGGCGTGGGTCGACCAGTACCGGGGCATGGGGCGCGCCACGCCGCCCCAGTTCATGGCCAACGCCAACAGCCGCGCCTCCGGCACCCACGCCTACGACTACACGTGCGCGCAGCAGCACCAACAGCAGCAACAGCAGCAGCAGCGCGGCCAGCACATGTACAACGGCGGCTACGGGATGGACGGCTACTCCTACAACCGGCACTACTACAACAACAACATGATGTGCGCCGACGGCTACTCCAGCTACAACTACATGTACGGCAGCGGCGGCATGTACGCGTGCCAGGGCGACGCCTCGGGCCACCAGTACTATGATTCGTACGGCATGGCGGGCGCCACCGGCTACGAGCACGCAGACAAGGGCTCCGGCATGGCCTCGATGACGGCCAACAATCCTGCCAACATGGCCAACATGGCCAGCATGAACAACATGTCTCAGGGCGGCGGCGGCGGCTACTACGGCGGCGGCGGAGCCAACGGCACGAGCGCGGACGGCGTGGCCTACCAGGAGCAGCAGTACGCCAACCACCAGCAGACCCACGAGCACGACCTCAACTTCACGTTCAACTTCTTCGAGCAGGGTGGCGGCGGGGGCGGCGGCGGCGGCGGGGCCAACGGCGCTGCCGGCGGCGCGGGGGGCGGCACCGGCGGCAGCACGGCGCCAAGCGAGAACAGCAACTCCTCCGACTTCAACTTCCTCTCCAACCTGGCCAATGACTTCGCGCCCGAGTACTACCAGCTAAGCTGAGTTCGCGCGGCGTCCGGCAGCGAGGGCGGCGACGCGTGCGATCTGATAGACTTCATGTGATGCGCAAAAGAGAATTTAAAAAGGATAAGAAATAGATAATTTTTATAGACCATTTATTATTTGTGATTCTCCTACATTGACAGTTAGCAAAAAAGATGTACGTGTGAGCAAGCGAAGGGCGTCCGAGGCGCGCGAGTGAGCCCCCGCGGCCGCCCAGGGCTGGCCTCGAGAGGGCCAGAGCCTCCCGGCCGAGGCGCCCGCGGGAGGCCGTGCCGCGACGCCGCAGCCCGGGAACTGGTCCTGCTTCGTGTTAACGGTGATGAGTGTGTGTAGTGTGTGAATTGTGTAGGGTATGAATAACACCCTAGTGTCAAGTGGCACTTAGTGTCATCCGGACTGCGCCGCACGGATAGGTGCCGCCTGTGGCCGGGCACCACCTGGCCAGAAGTGCCACAATCGTGTCCTTTTGTGCATGGCACCATTATGTCCCTTGTTGATGTATGAATATCACTGACCCCAGAATGTGTTCCAGTGCATGGCACTTGTGTGTGTCACGTGTCTTGTGTGAGTGCCACACTGTATCCTGCAGCCGCTTGGTGACCGAACCATTGCCAAGGGAACCATGCGCCGCGCGGAGCGAGTGTCACGTAGCGGTGTGGTGCCAGTCATTCCAACGCCCCGTAGATGTCCCCCCCCCATCCCCCCGTGCGCGGTAGCCGTGTAGTCGCCCGTAATTCCTCTCTCCCGTAGGGTTAAGCTTCGGCGGCCTCGACCTGAGGCCGCCGGTGATATGGGGTCATCATTCTGTTGTCGGATTTTCAGCAATAATTTATACAACTTTTAAATTTTTCTCATTATTTTTCCAAATGCTGGGAGCCCACGAGGCTCGGGGACTGAAATCACGATATCTTCCTTAGGTTACTTGGCGAGAGTGAAGAGAGCCGCGTTCGATAAGATGCGGTCTAAAAAAAATAAAAAATAAAAAATATAAAAAATGAACAAAAGAAACTAAAAAAAGAGAAGAAAACAAAAAAAATAACGGTCCATCACGGGAGCCAATGTCAAACGAGTATAAGAGTCACGTGACCGAAGGCCCTCTCGCTGCCCTCTGATTGGTGGAAACGATTACTCAAATTTCTAGAACGACTGTGCTTTCGAAAAATGGCCTCACGATATATGATATATCTTGACTGAGGAAAGCAGGTTGGGAAAATCATCTCTGTTTACATTCCCTTGGTTGTTTATCAGCGTATTTTGATTGAAATACGCTGCTACTAAAACAATATCGATGGTAAATACGTTTCCAAAATGAGCGATTGATTTCTGATTGAACAGGCAACACAGTCTTAGGTTTATTTACCTCTCCTCCTGTTTCTTTCTTTTTTTCTTTATCTTTCACCTCCTCTTCTTCCGCTCATAGTTTTCTTTCTCCTCTGTTTGCTATTTTTCTTCATTTTCTTTAGATTGTCTCTCCTCCTCTCCTCCTCTTTCCCCTTTAACTTTTTCCTTCTTCTCTTCTTTTTTGTCGCCTTTCCTCCTCCTTGTCTTCTTACTCCTCTTCCTCCTCCTC